GCTCTCCTTCCTTGCGCATTTTAAACTGCCCGAGGTTCCTATCTTTTCAGATATTTACCATTTTCTGTTAAGAAAATGCCTTCCCTGAAATGTTGCCGGTTAAGGAAATTTATCTTTTCCTTCAGTCTTCACAGGAATGTAGGCGATTAGCCACGGAGCCCTTCTCTGTCTAGCACCAGGCATCAGACACCCAGCTACGCAGAGTCCCTTTGAATGGAACTGCAGAATAATCTCCAGAAGAAACAGCGAGCTCAGATGAGTGGCAGCAGCCCATTGTGCTGACTTAAACACACCGGGCAGCAGCCGTCTTGCCGGCCCAGGGAGGTGTGGTGTTAGGTGTTAATAGCAGGGGCCAGGGACGTTTAATATCAGTACATTGGGCCCCTTTGTAATTAGGGTTCCTAGTTAAAGACCCTGAACACTGTAAAAATTTTGAGTATTTTTGTTTTGTTAGAAGCAAGAGTCATTCAAACCTTTTAAATTCAAACATCATGGGGGACACCAACAGGTAAGACAACAATATCTAAAACCTACATAGCATTGTTCACCTGCGGGGTTTTATGTGTGCTGATTGATTTACTCTCCAAAACCCTATAAAGAAGTATTATTATCATCTCCATTTACAGGTGAGGAGATAGAAACGTGAAATGACTGAGGCAAGACAACACAGTTAGTAAATAGGAGGGCTGGGTTTGCATGCAGGCTGGCAGACAGCGTTGGAAGCCCTCTGGTCACGTGTGAATGGAGGACTCCAAGCCTTGCCCACTTGGCCTTGCCCTTTTGTTTTTGCTCCAGAAAATACCCTGGGCTCTTTATTGAACGTAACTCAGAAAGCCAACCATTTGTTTCTACTCTTTCCTTCAAGGGATGAAATTGAGCCGCAGAGAAATAAAATGACTTTCCTAAAAATCTCACAATTAGAAAAAAATAAAAGAGAGTCATTTACATCTTCTTCTTGAGATACAAGACTCACTTGATTCTCCTCTATCTGTGGTGGGCAAGTTCTGTGTGTTTTCTATTGGGGATAAAAAAAAAAAAGTCTTCAGGTAAGGGCATCCTAAAGAGAGCTTAAATGGATATAAGAATCTGTTGAATGTCCAGAAGATCAAAGAGCAGCTTGGGGGAAAACCCAAATTAACCCAATTATGTCTTGCACTTTCTCCAACTTGTTATATGAAGCTCAGAATAATACTAATGCAAATGAGACCTCAGTCATGAATTATCATCATTCATTCATTTGACAAATACTTTTTAGGACTCACTATGTGTTATGAACTGTACACATGCAGGCATATCCCTTGTGTCACATACAAGCTACTGGGATACAGTAAGTTCCTGTCCTGGTGGAGCTCATATTCTAGGGTCTGTGGGAAGACCAGTGAACTTTGCAAAACAAACAAACAAACAAACAAACAAAACTGGTCTTTAGAGGGCACTGCACCAGTCTGTAACACCTCACTAGCTGCCTTGCAGCTGTGAGCCCCTGGCCCTGGAAGATCAAGTGAGAAGACCAATGGCCTAGAGTAAATCCATCACTGTTTTTGAGATATTCTTGCTTCCCCACTATGAACATCAGAGGATTTATTTAAAACATTTTTCCTTAACAATTTAAAACTCTGTGCCTTGCTCCATACTTGCAGAGTGCTACATGTCACATCTTTTGTTTGTATGGAAGCATGTAGAATATTTTTAGAAACTGATACCCACCATTTCTGTTTCATTAACCCACCAGGGCCTATTACCATTGATGAAAACTCCAATAATTAATACATTTTCAAATTGATTCCTACAGCTTGTCGATAACAGAAACTTGTATATCAAAACCATAGTGTTGCAGGAGAGGTAGATAAACCCATAGAAACTGCACAGTGCCAGTCAGGGGAAGAGAGGTGGAAAGTAGCACAGTTCTGCTTCAACCTACTGTGTGCCATATACCATGCTTGAAGGAACTTCAGTGAACAAGCCTGTCTAGCCAAATACCCAAAGCAGAAGTGTTTTAAACATTCACAGCACAACTTTGAGGTTCTTAAAAAAAAAAAAAAAACACAGGTGAAGCAAAATTTCAAATTATAATTCTGATATTCCTAGGATGATTTCCTAGCCTACCGTGCCTAGCAAAGCCACAGGAATTTGCTCATTTACACTCCCAACAAGTGGATTTTGTGTATAAGAAAGAAGGCACAGTTGGTAGGTTCACTATGAGACTTTACCCATTTCCTATCTGCTTTGGATTTTAGTGGAAAGCAATTAAGCTTCCATAATACAAAATAATATATTTAAACACCTACATAAATTAAAATTGATCATGGTGTTTACATTGTACATTAAACTTAAGCCTCAAGCAGACTGAGTTTTGGCATGGCAGAGGGGATATGGAGAATGTGGAAAGAATACACTGCCCTGTGGCTGCATCCCCTGTTGCCCAGTAATGTTCTCTGCAATAAGTTGTGCCTGCCAAGTTTTACCAGGCTGGCAGCTGGCATGTGCAACAGGAAGGTCACTAGTGAGCCTATCAAGATCAAGACTGGAAGTGGGATGAGAGCTAAAGGGGCATCTTGAAGATTTAGTTCCTCCCAACTACCTGGGGTATGGTCATTCTTACCTACTCATTAGATACACATTCCTTACTTCACTGAAGCATGCTGTCCCTGAAAATCTTTCAATTGTTTTCTGGGAAACACTTGTGAGCTGCATTTTGTATATTTATAAATTATATGATATTATAGTGTAAAGAGTGATCTTTGTCTTATTCACAATCTTAACAAAGACTGAGAGAAAGCACATGAAATCTGATGCTCTAGGGTGACAATAACAAATCCTATTCAACAAGTCTCAGTAGAGTGTAGCGCTCTGATTTTAGTTTGTCCTGACTAAGGCCATTGCCACCGTGGTGAAGCTGTGCATACAAATTGTCATTTTCTTGGTGAACGTTGAGAGAATTATAAGGATGTGAAAATTTAGGCATCAAAGTTGATCTGAGAGAAAAAAGAATAAAGGTTATGACATGGATATTTGATTAAAATTAGTTTAGAATAAATAGTATATTACTTCAATGAATCACCATCATAAAATAGGTAGTTTGGTACACTGTTTCCCTTTTGTTAAGGGAAATAATTAGGTGGATCTCAGATGATTCCATGAAGGAGACTTCTTTTCACAGAGGGGAACAAGGTGCATTTCACTGCTAAGGGTCAGATCTCCCAGTCCTCCTAGTTAACAGAACTATGGATGTCCTCCAAGGCACAAAGGGACAGCATTTGGCCCTATTAAATGGGCTTCTGCATTAATCTAGAAATTCTTTGTTGAAAACCAAAAACATAGCAACCATATTTAAATTTCAGACCATTACAATTAGGTGTCTTTGAATAAAGAAGAAGAGAAAAGAAACCAAAACCTATTGAGTAGAGCTTTTAAAATCATGGCTAGGTGTATTTCAAAACAAACACGCCTACGCCATTCCAGTTAAAGTAGATCGAATCCTCTAGCCTCTTCAGAAGTTGCCCTTGGACTATGAAATAGGAATTTTGTTTAGGGTTTTTCAGGTGTGATGTTTTAAAAGAAAATGTTTGCAAATAATATTTTCAATGCAACTGCTTTTGAACGGGGCAGCGGGAGAAGCCAAGTTAGGTTAACAGATCAACCATAGAAAATTCAGCAGGATCCTTTGCAAGGCAAGAGGGAGCCTGTCTGTGGCTTTGCTGTGTGGCCGTGTGGCTCCACCAAGCTGCTTTGCCTGATTCTCAGGGGTTTGTGGTGTGTGTGTATTCACTGACACTCAGGGGGCTGGAGGCAAGGCTGGGGATGGCTCTCTGGCAGGCTCAGCCAGTTTGGCACGCTCTCAGCTCTGGGAAGTCCACAGTGTTTTACAAAGAGCAGGTGGGCGAGAAAGCTCAACACTGCAGGGCAGATCGCGCAGCTGCAAGAGGTGGAATTCCCCACCAAAGGCTCGGCACTGCTTTGAAAATGAATTCATCATTAAAATAGAAGGATTTCTGAAGCAGTAGACGAACACGGGCCTTGATTGGTTTCAAATTAACTCTTTGTATTCATCTTTCATTCATCCTGTAAGAGAACGTCTCTGCTTTTCCAGAGACTGGTAACACAAATAATCCTTGACATCTTTTCAAGGAGAGTGAACCGCTGGCGTGCTCACAGGGCTGCATCTGCTTTCCATCCCGCCTGCATCTTGCTGCTATAAAGCCTGGCATGGAGGGACTCTTGCTGCAATCCAGGCGCTCTGTTTTGCTTGTGTTCAGTATTTAGAAAAACAGGGATTTGCTTCTCCCTGGAAGGAGAGTCTATGCTTCCTCTGGAGGCTACAGGAAAAGGAGGCATGGCATTCCCCATGTCCTTTTTCTCTCTTCCCCTCATTTCTGGGTCTTTCCTTCCCGGTCCCCTTCTCCCCTAACCCAGGAGCTAAGAATGGCCTGGCTTCTGCTCTTGCTGCTAATTTAAAGCCTTTCCTTGTAGAAAATACCTGTAGAACCGTTTTCTCTGAGGGAAACTATTTATGTGTCTGTTAAAAGTGTCTTTCGTCCACCAATCCCATAAACAATTAAATGCATAGCCTGCTAGCCCAGAAACCTTCCTGGCTACTTCAGTGAAATTTCCTAATCCTTTTCTACAGCAAGCCATACCCAAGCGCCGTGGCCCATTCATCTGCTGTTGCTCCTCAAGCACTTTGATCTTGGGGCTTCATTACAGCTCATTTCAGCATTAAGGATGATCTGAATTCATGAGCTCTTCCCTTCCTAATAAGTGCCATTCAGATCCATCCTCAGGAGCGACCGCAGCTCACGGGAAACTGGTTCAAACCACGCGCAAAAGAATAATGGGCCGGCTTCAAACACAAGTGAAAAACGGGGTTTTTATTAGCCAAATGAACCTTTGAATGAAATGCTTCATTAAACAGAGGAGTCTCATTTTCAGGGCACTGTTAAATCAGCCAATTGCCACCCCGAGATTAGTAAGCGTGATTATTTCATTTTTTTCTTTTTCAGGTAGAAACTATGAGGTAGAGAAGAGACTGAAAGTGCCCTCCTCATCCAAGGTAGGGCTGGCATTAATTTGGGGTAGATTTGGCTTCATAGATCTTGAAAACCAGAGGGGCTTTTATAGGATTCCTATCTATTAATGTGGAGTGGAACGGGCCACTCCTAAAGAACCCCCTCTTTTTTTCATTTCCTTTAAAAAAAAGAAATTTAATTTGTATTCAGATAATACCCTTATAACTTCTAAGGCTGTCAAGCAAAGAGAGGAAAAGATAATTAGAAGATGATAGGAACCAGCACAAAGCCAAATGGAGGAAGACGGGCCCACAGTAAGACGCACAAGCCACCACCTAATCCGTGAACTGCCTTCGCTATAATTATGTTTTGCTCTGGCATTAAACTGGTGAAAGCACAAAGGAAACACTATTAAAGTCTAATTCCCACAAAAGAGAGCTCATCCTGTATAACAGTAAGCAGCGTGCACCAAAGAGGTGCCTATGGCAAATTTTAATTTAGCATTTAATAGGAGCATTCAACAACATTGCAAAAATAAAAGGGAAGAAAGAGTTGATGGTATTTATTTATTTATTTATTTGTGTGCTTGTTTGCAGTACTGGGGATCAATCCAGGGCCTCATGCATGCTAGGGAAATGCTTTACCGCTAGTATGCTTTATTAGTATGCTAGTAATGCTTTATCCTAGTCCTGGTGGTATCCCTTTAAATACACTCTTGCTATTGGCTCATTCTGTCCCCACCTTCAACCTTCTCAGCCCTTCCTCATGCCCTCACCCCATCTGCAATCCCTATCTCTGCTCTCCCCGACCCTAGCATTGAATGCATAGCTGAAAGTTATCGTATACATATGCCATCAAGCCTAGTCTTCCTCCTTTGGTGGAAAGAGGTCAGAATGAGGGACAGAGGTGGAAACTTATGAACCTTGGGAAGAACAGGTGTGAGGTGACAGGACAGTTCGCCAGAGCACCTGATTGCACAGGGAACTTGCATAAAAAAGTGAACATGACCCTGAATAGAAAGTCAAAGTTAAGATGGGTAAATTGGCATGTGCCTGTAATCCTGGTATTCTGGGGAGGCTGAAGCAGGAGGATTGCAACTCTGGGGCCAGCCTCAGCATTTTAGCAAGACCCTAGAAAGAAAAAAAAAAAAATAAGAGAGAGAGAGAGAGAGAAAGGATGAAGGAGGGTAAAGAAAAAAGTATTGGGGATGTAGCTCAGTGGTAAAGTTCCTCTGGGCTCAATCCCAATCCATAGTTTAAAAACCAAAACAAAACCCCCCAAAAAGATCAAAGTGAATAATCTAGCTTTTAAAAGTCATTTCTAGGCCTAAATGCTTTAGATTTATTCCACACAGTTTGTAATTATGAATAATTAGCAGACTTTTACCTTTTTGCCATGTAGTCCTGGTTTGGTACACTTGAATAATCACTTAAATTGATCACAATGGGCTGAGATGGGTTAGGAGCAATGGAACTGATATACCCAGGTCTTTGTAACTCATGAAGTTGTAGATAGGTTATAAGAAATTAGAAGGACTATTTTTTCCCCCGGTTGTTTTTGGTTCTACCACTTATAAAGAGACAATGGCAATTTGCCATTTATTTCCTCTTCTTCCTTTGATTCTTGCATGTCATATGTCCTGAGTCCAAGAGGACAAGTAGGTAAGTATTATTGTCGTTGTAGAGATGAAAAAGAGCAAATCAACTTAGCTACGATTGCAGTCTGAAGAATATAGTGGTTAAGAATGGAGGTTTTGAAGACAGGCTGTGTCACTTAAAATGCTGGCTTTCATGTACTTAAAAGGCACAGGTTGGCTAGGTGGTACATGCCTGTAATCCCAGCAACCTGGGAGGCTGAGGCAGGAGGATCGAAAAGTTCAAGGCCAGCCTGAAAAAACTAGTGAGACTGGGTCTCAAAAGAGAGTCGGGTATGGGAGAGCTGGGGATGCAACTCAGTGGTACAACACCTCTGGGTTCAATCCTCAGTACTGGAAAAAATCAAAAAGCACAAGTTAGTCATTAAACCTCTCTGAGCCTCAGTTTCCTCATCTACGTAAAGGGGATGTAATAAACCACCACACAGGGCTGTTGAGAGAGTTAAAGAGGATAAGCGTGTGAACCCCTAGCACAGGGCGGGTCTAATGCATAGTTGAACACCCCATAAATATACTTGTATAATTATTATTACTAGTACTACTGATGAGAAGACCAAGGATCGGAGTGTTTGAAGGACTTCTATTAAGAAGGCCACACAGTTAGAGTTGCAAATACAGCCAAGACCATATTTTCCCTAGCTTTTGAACCTACTCCTTAGCAAGAGTTTTTCTTTCTTTGACAAATAGAAAAAGTGAATTTCCTCTGAGCATTGTTGTTATTCAGTTAAGTCTGTTTTCGGGGAATATACATATTTTAAGCAGGATTAGCTTGCAGAAGCAACCAAATGGAGAGATGGTTAGAGGATTCACCCTAATACTGATTCAAACATAAATTTGATCGCGGCTGAATGCATCAAAGTACAGGGCTCTATTTAGTTGGTTACAAAGTAGTTTTAGCAATATATTCTTTCTAAGGGGCACCCAGGCTGATGCAACTTCAATTGCTCCAAAGTACTATGTACCATTTGGAAATGAGTGAGTGGTCAGATTTGCCAATGAACATGTCTGCAATTCTAAATCCATCATTTTAGGAGTGCTCATGAAACAAGGTCCAGATTTATTTTCCACTTGGTGTTTGTTCTGTTCATTAATTATATTCATATCTGCTTCTTTGAAGTTATTGAGACTATTGGGAAATGTAAAAGAAAGCTGTATTGATTTCAGTCTTAATATCATTCCATCTCTATTTCCTTCATCTACGAACTCGCAGGCATGTTGAGTGACATGTGGCGGTGGGTGTAGTATGTCGGGCATAGCGCAGGGCATTATCAACAGAGCCCAGGCGTCTCCAGATCTGCAGTCTCTTTGGTGAGAGGGTTTAGATTTAGAATGTCTGGATTGTATTCTACTAAAATCTCCACAGCCTTTCCTTTCAAAATCAATTTCAGTTGTCAGAAGGGGAAAAAAAAAGAGGGGGTGGTGGTGAGTCACTTTGAAATCATATAGCTTATTATTATCATCATTTTTTTAAAGCTTATTACTATAATTTTTCTCCCAAGGGAGCTGAGTTGATTTATCACCCCACCCTCCTTATCTCAACATGTGGCTGAGTTCAGAAGGGAATTAAAATCGGGGATTTTTTCCCCTCCAGGGAAAACTGATAGAATATACCCTAACCTCATTTTCAAGTTTAGCAGGAACTTTTTAGCCCCTTGAGTTTAGTTTTAAAATGTACATACAGCAAGTAGGCTCAGACCTCTCCCTACATTCATGTTTTTTCCCTGAATACTTTAGAAACAAGAGCAACTGAGGTACAATCTTCACAAATGGAATGCAGTACAGACTTGGTAGAAGATAACCTCATTGACATCAGGGATTCTTATCTAATTAGTTCACAGTTCTATGCTAAGCTCCTAGAATAACATCTGGTTAATAGCCAGTGCTCAATATATATTTGGGAATATAGTCTTACTTTTGTGAATTTCCCAGATCTAGGCTTGAAGGTTCCCTTCAATCCAAATATTAGGGGCTCATGAAGTGTCAACTGACTGCGAAAACTGTGCTTCCTAGTAACAGCTAGGAAGTGACCCTCACCAATATGGAAGGAAAAGTCCTGTGTCACTTGGCATTTCAGCAGTGGGGGGAGCAACCTCCTCTGTCCCTGGGCCAGTTTCACAGCGCTCCTGGGCTCAGGATCTGTGTCAGGTCATTTCATGCACAGCAAAGGGAGAGGAAGAAACTGTTCTCAGCTTGGGTGACTGATAGCCTGGGATTATTATTCTTTGGGTTCCAGGACACAGGGCTCCTATTATTTCCAGAGAGTTTTCATTTGTTTTTTCAATGCTGAAAGCTCATGCCAGTATGGTCGCCTGAAAGCTCATGGCAGCTTATATATGAGACGATCATATTCCATTCTTGGTTCCCTTAAACAGGGTGCTACTGTTGCAGAGAGGAAGTTCCAGGGGTAACTATTCCCCTGTGACTCCAGTGTGGTCAGCGGAACTGTCATATGCAAAGCAGGCTTTGCAAAGGCTTTTGCTGGCTGAAATATAGGAGTGCCATTCCTAGCTGGCTCACTTTTCCATCCCGGCCAGAATCCTGCCTCTTGCCAGTGCCAACAGCTGATATGCCAGAAGAGTACTGAGCTTCCCTTCAGCTCCCTGTCCTTCTCCTACCTCGTTGGCCCCTTTGGAATAGATTTTGTTCATGAGATGTTGCTATAACAAAAATTGGATGATGAAAGACCACCATAATGTGCATGTGCTGGAAATGGCAATCCAAGATCAAGGAGAATGTTATGGCTCGGTCTGATAGGATCTAGGGGTGCAAAATCTAATGCTCAGAGGGTGAAGAGGGTTTTATAAGTGAGTAAAGAGGGCAGGGTGCAAGACAATCTAGTGACTGGGGAAAATCTCAAAGTGAATGTGTTGCCCAAAAGGGACAGCAACTCACTACTTCCGGCTGAAGGCAATATGTGGGATTCAAGTCCAATGTGGTCAGGTCTCTTGTCTTAGAGACGCCAATAATCCATTTTTTGGTCTGTGCAAACTCTGAAATTGTTAATATTCACAAAATATTTATTATTTTTGAAATGGTGTGCAGACCAAAGATAGCATATCTTGGGGCTTTTGGATTTCATGGATATAAACATTCATTCTACAGTTAACATGGTGAGTTACTACAATGTGCCTGCACTGTGTCAGGAGCCAGCAGAAGTGAAAATGCAAAAGATATGGGTCGTAGTCTCCTTATGCTTTGTTAAATGAAGGAGAGAGAGGAGGAGAAATAGACACAATAAGTAATAAATGCAAAAGGACAAAGACTCACTGGACAGTAAAGAAGAGGCTACCTCAGTTTCTGAGGTTGAAGGTCAGTCATGAGAAGGTCTTAACCTCTGGAAAGCTGGGCTGTGGGGGACATTCAGGAGAGGGACAGTACTACCAGTGGCTTGAAGATGGGTCCTGCAGAATATACTTGGACATCCAGGAGTGGGCTTGTGCCACTGGTGTATGGCACAAATGCCAGGCATTGAGGTGGCTCTGAAAAGCACCCTCCACCTCGGTATCCAGTATCCTCTAGATCCTGTTCTAACTGGTACCATCTGAATTTTCTGAGTCTCAAATTGGCCCAAAAATGGCAGAACACACTTTCACTTTCCTCTGACACTCACTATGGAGTGTGACAGCTGAGGATCAAGGAACCATGACATTGAAAACTCTGCTGGGGAACCTGGCATGGATAGATTTTATCCACGGCCAACCCACATCTGCAGCCAGTTTAGTCACATCTGCATCTCGCATCCCATGGTGCTGTATCCATCCAGCATCTGGGTGCATCTGCACCCATCCATGCCCAGCATCTGTGGAACAAGTTGAGTGGTGGTGGCACTGATTTCACCAACAACTAAAATGTTAACAGTAGGTAATTGGCTATTTTCCCCAGAACCTTTTTTACAAAACGCATCTGCCAAATTCATGTGGACATTCTTAATAATCTGTGAATGTGATTTGATTTTTACTGGTCCTGTCTAATAAGGTGTGTGATTTTATTTTAAAGGTTGGTCTTTATCCTCCTTTTCAGAGTTGTATTGGTCATCAGATCATTATCCTGATTCTGATACACGTAGCTTGCCCTCCCTCCATTTTTTTCTCATATGAGCTGTAACTATGGGAGAGTATACCATGGTATCATGGCTAAACTTCTACTCTGGTGCTAGGATTCAAATCCCAGCTCCACATCTGACCCATTAGGACCACTTTACATCTCCACATTTGTTTATCATGGAACACCCCCACACACACACCTTCAAAGAACTCGTGAAGATTAAAGGGGCTAATATAAGCAAAATATTTAGTACCAGACACAGACCTGTATGAGTGTTTACTACTATTACTAAGTAATATTATTATTTCTAGTGGCCCCAAATCAGTAGAGGAGAATAGCTTTAAAATCTTCAAGGGGATCTCATGAAAACAAAAAGAAGACCAGTGGAGCAGACAAAAGGGACCGGGTGGAGGGAGGAGGGGAACGAAAGGGGAGACACTGGGGAATGATAGTGACCGAATTACATTGTTATATTATGTGCATGTATAAATGCATAACAACCAATCCCACTATAATGTATAATTATATTGCACCAATAAAAATATGGAAAAATCATATCTCTAGCTGGTCCTGTCCTTCTCTAGCTAGAGACATGCACAATTTGAAATGTAGAATTTTTGTAGAGAGAAAGTAGATCAGATAGAAAAGGTTATAAGACATTATTTTAGCAGGAAGATCCTCACCAGGGTGGAATCTTATTTTCTTCTTTGTATTAACTGCTATGTGTAATTCTAGAATTTATCCTCCAATTGGTTAGAAGAGGCTTCCTCTCTAGATTGAAGTAATAATAATCTCATTTGCCCCAACTCCAAAGCCCTTTGAAGTTAAACACTGAGAGAAAGAATGGCGGGGCCACTCAGCAGAGATTACATCTTGTTTTAAACACTAGCTGCTCTGAGAATAATTTCCTTAATTAATATTCACAAGATATCATACACTTGAGACTATATTTTCATGTAACCTACTTGCATGTAATTGTTCGCTAAGGCTCTTCACTTCGTTTGTATCTTCCTTTTGTGTCAGTATTCCACAAAATCATTTCCATCTAAAAGCGGTGCTGAAGGGGCTGGCGGTTCGCAGGGTCTCCCCTTCTGTGGGAAAGCTGGCACACACGGGCTTTCATCTCATTTCTAAAGTTAATATTGTTTTGCGCTGATTCCTATTCTTAACTAGATGCACATGGCTCCCAGACTCCCTCTCCTTCTGGATTCAAGCCCCAAACACATTCCCAGCCTGCCCTCCTGGAGTCTCGTGGACCATGCAAAGTGTTATCAAAGCACCCTGGAGCTGAAACTGACCAAAGTCACAAAGCCCTGAAGGAGCTACATTTGCCATCAATAACAGCATCTGAGGGGATCGATGCCTGGCTGGGTCACACAATCAAAAGATGGACAACTTCAGTGACTTTAGATTATTCAAGAGTCGATTTGCCCAAAGATTAGTGAAAGGAGCTAAAATGACTTGGAAAGAGATTTTCCTGCATCTCTACTTTCAATACCTTGTCAGTTTGCATATTTCTCTCAGAAAATTTTAAAATTAAAAGACTACTTTTAAAAAAGGTATTTAAAAATGTATTGTAAAAGTTTAAATAAATTTGCCAATTGCTTGGGATCTCTAGCCAGTGACTTTTCCACATACACTTGCAAGAAAATGTCTCTTCCAGTAAAACAGCAAGCCCTCCCCCTCCTACATTTTACTGGCAGAAATCATTTTTTGTTCATTTATTTTTGTAATTGTTTACTGTGTGAAACTTTTTAAAATTCAAACAACAGTTCTACCATCAGATACTCAATGATTGACACTTGACACTCTATATACGTATATATTATGTGTATGATGAATATATACTGTGGGTACATATATGTATATATTCATACATATATCCCTAGATTCAATAATTGCAAGAACAAATTTCTTCGGTGATGATACTTGCTTTATAAACAGTCTTGTCTTGGAGGGTACAAAATATTCTCAAGGGTTTTTTTTTTCCTGTATTGCAATTTCCTGATTGCTATACACAACCGGAGCATAATACCTGCTAATAATTCTCTCTTTGGAATCATTACCCATCCAGGAATTTGCCTGCATTGTGGATATGATCTAAACACTATTTGTGCACCCTGCTGAATGAAGTTTACCGTTGTCCAAGTTGGCATCATATTCTGCTACAAATAGTCCATGCTTCTTGCTTGCAGGTTTCTTGACATTTTCCTGGGTTCAATCCTGGCCCCTTCTCTTGCTCTCTCTCTTTAGATAGATAGATAGATATGCAAACATGCACACATGCACACAAACGGTTGGCCCTGAATCTAAGAGTTTCATGTCATAGACTCAACCAACCCTGTAGTGAAAATATTAGGAAAAACTTGCATCTGTACTGAACATGTAACAATACAGTACAACAACTATTTACATAGCATTTACATTGTATTAGGTATTATAATTAATCTAGAGAGGATTTAAGTTATGCAAGAGGATGTGCATGGAGTTAATATGCAAATAGTATGCCATTTTACATAAGAAACTTGTGCATATATGAACTTTGGTACCCTTGGGGACAGGGGTCCCAGGAACCAATTCTCCAGGATACTGAGGGATGACTTGTACATAGAAGATCTCCTGCCAATCACCCGCATGGCGGTTGAGATAATCCTACTGTTTAAGTCAGCTTTTTGCTGCCATGACCAAAAGACCTGACAAGAATGATTTTAGGAGAGGAAAAGTTTATCTGGGGAGCTCACAATTTCAGAGTTCTCAGTCCATAGATGGCTGACTTCATTCCCCAGGGCTCAAGGTGATAGAGGACATCATGGTGGAAGAATGTGGTAGAAGAAAACAGCCCAAGACATCACATCAGAAAGCAGAAAGAGAGATTCTACTCACCAGAATCAGAATGCGTACCTTCAAAGGCACACCCTACCTCTCCCAGCCACATCCTGCCTGCCTTCAGTTACCACTCAGTTGATCCCTATCAGGGGATTAATTCAGTGATTGAGGTTAAGGATCTCATAACCCAATCATTTCACCTTTAAAACTTCTTGCATTGTCTCACACATGAGTTTTTTTGGGGGGACACCTCCCATTCAAACCATAACACCTCCCAAGTAAGCATTCCAATACCCTGTGCAAGACAGCTCGCAGAATAAGAAAACACAAATGAGCGTATTCAGCATTTATCTGCTCAGCCTCACTCAACTAAGCTACAGTATTTCACCCATCAATCAATATTTAATATTTTCTGGTGCTAAATGGGGAGAGGATGGGAAAACAGGCACTCTCCTGTGTTGCTAGGAGGAGACAACTGGCACAGCCCCAATGGGAGGCAATTTGCCAACATAATTAGAATGATACTGTACACATGCTTGACCAGCAATTCCCTCCCTAGAATTTTATCCTGCAGATATATTCTCACATGAGCTAAATGATGTATTTACTAGAGTATTCAACGAAGCATTGTGAGAGGTATTGGAAGCCATCTAGATACTTAAAGAACTGGTGAAATAAATGGTGGAGCATCTGATCAAAGGTCTGTCTACAATGTGGTTGCTGAGGAGAATGAGGAAGTTCTCCTCTGATGTGGAGGCTTTTGGAGATATTCTTATATAGGAGGGGGAAAGCATCCATTATTTATAGGACAAGGGTGGAAGTAGGGTGACTGGGAGCCAGGATAGAGATATACAATTGGTAGGATGTACACAGAGCATCCCTGGGAAGATTCATGAGGAACTAGTTGTACTTATTCTTGGGTGAGGGATGGTGCAGGGTGGCTTTGGGACAAGGCTGGAAAAGAAACTGTCACTGTATAGATACTATTTTGTAACATTTGAATTTTGAAATATGTGAAGGTAGGAGCTACTAAAGATGATAAACAAAAATAAAACAAAATCACAAACATTATGCACCCATCTTTGTGCTCATCTCCTGGAAGTTGAAATTATTTGAAGCATGGTGAAATGAGGGAAATCAGAAGCAAGAAAGCCAAGTTATTAAAGGAATGGGGGAAATGGCGGTAAAAAAAATAGGACCATTTAGCTTCTGAAAGAATAGGTCCGGGAAAGATTTAATAATAGTCCTGAAATACCAACGAGTCATTTGAGAGGGTCAAGGAGTTTCTGTTCCTGGTCTGGGTGTGAACTTAAAGCTTTTAACTGAGAAAAATATGGAATTGAAATTCCAAAGTGAGGTGCAAGGTCACTGCTTTCAGATTTTTTTAAAGAAAAATTTAAGAACTGGCTCTATACTTTTATGACTCCCTCAGCCATATTGAGGCCAAAAAGAGGTTTGGGAAAAGAGAAGGAAGTATTTGTAGGGAACTTTCTTTTGGGAGAGCCTCTGGTGCTGAGTGACCCCCCCACTCCCTCTGGGGTGAGACTCTCCTTACCTTCTACTTATGGAGGGGCTGTTGGGGGTTCAGTCAGAGAGCTTGGAGAACAAAGGCAGTGTGGGCTTGGGTCTGGTCCCTGAGGAAGCACAGAGTACAGAAGAAGGTGGCAAAGAGCTTCGATGGCAGATGCAGGAGTGTGATGCTGAGTTGGGGGTGGGTGGCACAACTGTTCAGAGACAACGGTGTGTGGGTGCTCCTCCCAGGACTAGATATGGGTCACATCTGAGGGGGTGAATGCACTGAAGCCTTCTCATGTCCAACACAGCAAGAGTGCCCCAGCAAGAGGGAGACAGAGGTCCATGAGGACAAGGCCACCAGAGTGGTTGCTGGAGGGAGGGATCCAAGGAGGAAAATCTTGGAAAGGATGTTAATCATCTGCTAGTGCCAGACAGCACACTGCCACCTGGCCACCCAGCCAAAGAAGGACTGGTGCACTGACTTTCCTGTCCTGTCTTGCCCCTGTCACCCAGCTGGGGTCTGTATCAATGGCTAGATAAGAGATGCTGGTCACATCCTCCCTTCTCTGCAGGCAGGTGGCTTCCAACTACAGGCCCCAGCAAGAAGAGAAGGAGAGGTCTCGTCTTCAACTGAAAACTGAAGAGTTGATTCTTATCTTAAGACACACTCTCTTTACTGATTTGAGACTCTAGGATGGTTTGTTATCTAAGAGTAAGCAGAAAAGTTACAGGGCCTGCTGAGTTCTCAAGTAGCCAGACAATAAATTTTAAAGAAGACGTGATTAAAGGAGACACAATGCTTAAAGGAGATGACTTTTGGGGTGGGGGGGGGGAATTGAACCCAAAGGCACTTAATGACTGAGCCACATCTCCAGCCCTTTTTATATTTTATTTTGGGACAAATTCCCATTAAGTGAGACTAAATTGCAGAGACTGGTTTCAAACTTGTGATCCTCCTGCCTCAGCCTCCTGAGCAGCTGGGATTACAGGTGTGCACCACTGCGCCCAGCAAGGAGATGATTTTAAAGGAGACACAAGAATAAAGTTAAGGTACAGTTCTCTGCCATGAATCATACATATGCCAACAAATTGGTGAGATTTATTTTTATAAAATCAAGAGAACTGAATTTCCAGTACTATCAGGAATAAGAGGGGGAGATTGGGCAGCACAGAGAATTTCCTCGTTCTAAATTTGCTAGATATGTGCTTGCTTACAATGGGAGATTGTGGTCCCTTCTTATTTTAATTTTTTTAAAATAAATCTTTACCAGTACAATGTTTCTTTCCTTCCCTTTCTCTCTTCCTTTCTTCCTACCTTCCTTCCCTCCCTCCCTCTTTCTCTCTCCATTTTTTCTTTCCAATTTTTAAAACAAGTTTAAGAAGCTATAAAGAGAATTTGTTTAAAAATTCTAAAGTAAAAAATTTAGAGAAGTGGAATGAAGATTTGGTGAAGTTTGTGAACAAGGGATGTAAACAAGGTTTGGAAAACACTGTTCTAAACAGGGTTTGTGGAAAAACCAGAAAACAAGATGCTCTAGAATGAGATTTCAAGTTACCATTCAGGGTGACTCCATAGGATTCTCCTCAGCTAAAATGTCCTTGCAATTAGTCTGGAATAAGCCACAGATTTCTGACATTTTTCTAAACCACAGTTCAAATCAATTGGTTCTCAAGACAGACTCAAAGTCAGGAAGCAGAAATGTAAGACAGCAAAAATAAGGAAAAAACAGTACAAGAACAAAAGAAAGGAAGAGAGGGAGGGAGGGAAAAAAGAGGGAGAAGAGGAAGGATAGAAAGAAGAATGAGAAGAAGAAAAGGTTAACACACAGATAGAGTTTGTGACAGTTTGGGAACACTCTGGGTCTTTAATTTCATTTTGATGGTTCTGGTACCTCATAAGACATAATGATTTGCACTCTTAGTTTAAAACATTAAACCACGGTTTTAAACATTAAACCAAGCTTGTTTCAAAATATTAAACCAATATTTAAGCTCTCTTGCCTCCCTGATTCTGGGCCTATAATACACAGACATTGTTCAGTTTTCCCTGTTATATATTAAAGCGCACAGACACTATGATTTTATTTAGCTAATTTCAAAATTAAAGATTTCCTTAATTGTAGTCTTCCGTTAGTTCTTTGTAGTTGCTAAAACTGCATGCTTTATTGCCCAAGGGAAAACTTGTACTATTTGAGTCCCTGTTAAAAGAAAAGTAAACCATGGCCTTCCGCTTCCAGGAAGGTAGAGTAGATACAGTTTTCCCTATTCCTCCCACCAAG